CATTCATTTTTTACATGAAATAAAAGCCTATTTTCTCTATTTTGAAATTCTAATCCTAAACAATAGTATAAAGAAGTGAATTTGAAAGAATTCAGCTTTTTCTACTAGTATTCTATCTCTGTATCCGATCGGGTGAAAATATTTCGAGGGTATCTAAGATCAAGTTGGGCCGGGAAGGGGCTATAAATGGGCTCTCGTGGGCTATTCATGGGCTTTATGGGCTATTAGTGGGCTCTTGTGGGCTTTCCGTGGGCTTTATGGGCTATTAGTGGGCTCTCGTGGGCTTTTCGTGGGCTTTTTTGGGCTATTTATGGGCCCTCATGGGCTTTGTTGGGCCTCATTAGGTGTTAGGCCTTGTTAGATGTTGGGCCTCGTTAGGCTAAACACATTTCACTTGTAATATGTAGGCTTATTTGTTTGACTTACCGTCTACAGCTAAATAACATAAATTGTCAGAAATCTTTCTTCTAGTAATGTATCTATCTCTTTCTCTATCTCTCTCTTTTTTTTTATTCATGTGTTATATACTTACTTTATTATGTCTCAAAGCCAGCAATCTGACTTTACATCATCTCTTTATGATATAGAGATAGACAATCTAGCCTTTCTAACTTCTTTAAATCACCCAGCCATTCCATCTGGCAGCCAGCATACATTTGATACACTTGATCCTTCGGTCCCTTCGTTTATTCGACCAGCTATTCCTCTGACAATTCCATCTTCTTTTGAACGCGTCGGACCCGATCGAAAAAAGGCATATGTGTTTTACAACGTAATGATTTATAGTGAATGGGTAGACTGGTGGTTACAAACTGATTATAGGTCCAAAAGTAAGATACATTGGGACTCAAATCACCTTTCAGATATTTGGAAGCACTATGATCAGGTCGCCTCTAGTATAGATGGTGCATCAAAGGTTATGTGCAAACGTTGCAGTCAGATCCTTGAACATCCTTACTCGGCAAAAAAGGATACTAAAGGGAAAGAAGGGCGTCATGGTTTATCAACAATGACAAGGCACTTAAAGACTGCTGCATGCCAACGGTTTGAGAACAGACAGAAAGATGAAATTACGAAATTTCTTCAAAAAAAGGTATATCTAATGTTCTATTACTATACTTCCTTAACTAATAAACAATTATCTTACTAGAAATCTGTTTTAACCGATATTCCTTTCTCACAACCAGCCTGGGAAGAAAAGATCTTATCATTTCTTACAATCAATCGGCTTCCTTTCAATCTAATCGAGCATCCAACATTTACAAGCTTGATTCAGATGGCCCACAATGTACCGACTGTGCCACAAGTCCCATCTGCAATGACGATCCGTCGCCGGCTAGAAGTGCTAGTCAAAGATCAGCAACAAAGGGTTCTTAAGATGCTTCCTTCAGATTCAAAAATATCAATTGCGCTTGACAGTTGGACATCCCCGTTTTCCCAGGCATTTTTAGCTATAACTGGCTACTTTGTTGATGCTGATTGGGTATATCGGGAAGTACTTCTTGGCTTTAAACCTCTTCATGGAGCGCATACTGGTTTGAACATGAGTAGTATTGTTCTCGAAACACTCAACAGCCATCAGATTCAAGACCAGGTCTTTGGAATAACCAGTAATAATGCATCAAACAATAAAACACTGGCTGATTCTCTTCAGCAGACTTTATCTGATGATGTTAATATTATTCGAACTCCCTGTCTTGCTCATGTTATCCAACTTAGTTTGAACCAGCTTCTTGACCGTCTCAGAGCAATCCCACAAAACAATACTGCAGAAATAAAATGGACTGACCGGCTATCATCTTTAGCAAAAACAAATACACAACATCAGAAGTATGAGATTTCTTTTACCTTAAATAAGGTCCGCTCTCTGGCAATATATATCCACGGAAACCCTTCACGTCGGGAAGCATTCAACAATCTTCAAATAGGCGATCCTAAGCTTACACCAATCCAAGATGTGAGAACTCGATGGAATTCAACCTTTCTAATGCTTCGCCGCGCAAAACGATTCCGTGATGTCTTTACACGATTCTGTACCGACTATGATTGTGAAGAGATGTTACTAAACAATGAGGAGTGGCGCCAAATCGACTATCTTCTCTATATCACTGAGCCATTCTTTCTCTATACAACTGAGCTATCAAAGACTCGAGAGGTTACAATACATCTTGTCTTCAAGATCTACAACGCGCTTTTTGAGCATCTTGAAAAGTCAATGAAGCAGCTCCGGCGGAAGTGTATTCTATGGAAAAAACAGATACTTGATTCTCTTGAAGCTGGTCGATCTAAGCTTGATGAGTACTACTCACAGACAGATAAGGCTAAACCACATATCTATGCGATTAGTACAATGCTTGCCCCTGATAACAGGTTCCAATTTTTCCTATCTGATGACTGGGATAAACAATGGCGCGACCTTTACCGGAAATCTTTTCAAGAAACTCTGATTCCTTATCAAGAACGTTTATCTTCTATTCAAGGCTCTGCAACCTCCTTTACTGCAGCCAGACCAAGCTCAAGGCTTAATAAGATGTTGAACGGGTACAAACTACAGGCAAAGCCAGTAAGAGATGAAATAACTCAATATCTTGACAGCGGTATGTTAAATACCTAATTTGCTTAGTCTAATACTAATTTCTTTGGAGATACTATCGATATGGAGCCCCTTCAATTCTGGAGAGAAAATGAATATCGGTTTCCAGCTATTGCAGCTCTTGCACGGGATATTCTCTCTATTCCAGCAACAGGTGCTGGTGTTGAACGACTTTTCAATACTGCTCGAGATATCTGTCATTACCGCCGCGGTCGGATGAAGTCTGAGACAATTGAAAAGATTATGATGTTTCTTTGTACATCAAGATTTGATCTTGAAGAACAAGAGACAGAATTTCTCAAGGAATTCTTTTCTATCTATGAGGTAGAAGCAGCAAAGGAAGAGAAAGACGAGAAATTAGAAGAGATTGAAGTAAAGTCAATTAGTGATACTGAAGAACAAGAGGATGATAAGGCCGTAGCAATAATACAGGATCACACTGAGCCTGAATTGCCAGAGAATATCACACGAATACGGGCTTCAGGAAGAAAACGGAAAAGTAGAGAAGATAATGAGTTTGAATATCATTAATATATTTAATTACTGCCTTTTAAATAATATTTTAATGATTAAACTCTGTACGATGCTGAAAGCTTCAACGAATAAGACATAACCAGGAGGAGTGTCACGGTGCAGACCTAGAATGCCTGAGGCACCTCCTCGGCGCGGCCCGGAGCGCTATATTATCCGTTCCGGGATCCGCATATCTCCCGCCTGCCTGAAGATCCTGTTGTAGCTCTCCGAGCTACGTCTTGTCTATAAACCTGTAGATAGCTTGACCCTGTAGCAATTCAGAGATACTGTGATCTATTAGCCTGCCTGCTCGCCTGCCTGCCATCAGCTCTACCACCCCGCCAGCCCGCACCTTGACAAGGAGTAGACATTATAAAGCTCAATTTTCAAGAGAAATACTCAATATTACAGCTAAAAGATGCACAAGTTATGCAATCACGAGATCGAGCCATGTTTGCACTGTTTAGCCCCGTTTGGGGGCCCATTTGGGCCCCATCTGTGGGCCGTGGGCCCCTGGGCTCAGCCCATAGCCCATCATGGGCCCTAGAACCTGGCCCAAAGCCCAGCCCACAAGTGGGTTGGGTTGGGTTGGGCTTGGGCTTTCGTGGGCTCTGATGAAGTCTAGGTCTATTGTTTTGTTGCTTTGATATGATGCGTTATCTTGATTTGATTTTCTTGGTTGTAGTGCTGGTATTAGAGGATCAAGTATTGGCAGATATTCTGATTGCTCATTACCAAGGCCTATCCTCCAAAATTGATGAATATCGCTTAGTGGAATTGGTTAATCCTTTACTTTTTAAGACCTAAATGTTATTTATTTACTTGTATAAATTAGGAATAGCTATTTTATAATAAAAGAATTTGGTATTATTTAGGAGGTTTAAGGTAAAGACTATTTAGCTATAATATATACAGTATTTTTGCTAAATAACTTTTTAGAGAAATAAAAATAAAAATATGGTTAAAAGTGCCCCAAAAATATTAAAATTAATAATATAGAAAAATAAGGATTAGTTACTACTAAAAGTATATATTCTTTATATTAGTTAATATAATTTTTTTAAATAATTAATAAATAATTATTGCTATTATTAATTGTTGTACCACTGATATTCGCATATGGCCTTGCACCTGCCTGCTTTAGTTAGTCTTTATGTCAGCTGACCCACAGTGGATCGGCCGTAGATAGTCTCGCTGCAGAGCGCTAGTCCTTCATACAATTCAAGCATCCTAAACCTACAGTTCCGTGATTAATTACTTTTAGTAATCTTAAAGATATAAACATAATTATTTAATTTAAATTATTAAATTAATATTTCTAATATTGTTAATTTAATATTATTCAATATTTTTGCCACGCCCCATTTTGGTGTTCCTATTATACTGGAATATTTTTCTTTAAAAAATACTATACTAATATATTAATTATTAAAATCTGTAAATTGTATTATAATCGAATAATGCCCTAAGAGATAAGAAAGGAAAAAAAAAAGTTAAAAAAATGCGAAAATAGAATTTATTTATTTATTTATATTTGAGACTTACGTATAAAAAATGGGAAGATATAAAAAAAATTCATTAATTGCAGTTTAATTTAGAATAATGAACGAAACTTATAAATGGTAAGTTAAAGCCGTTAGCAAAGTAAAGACTTAAACTAAAATTATTAAAGTAGAAAAAGGATAAATAATTAAATATTATTTCTTTTTCACCCTCTTATAATCGTGCAAAAACCTGTTATATTTGTCTTACTATACGCATCTTATTTATCCTGCCTATTTTATTTGCCCCTGGGGTAGCTCTTAAACCTCGACACGTTACCAAGGACCGTAGGACCGAGTTAATACACTATATACTAAACCGGGGTTAATTAAGATTATACCCCTCGACGAGGTAATCAAGCCTTAGATAAACTAATTAAACTGATCAAAATTAGTAATCTAATAAACTAACTTCTATTTATATCACCGCCAATTTATTTTTCATAAGAGTAGACTAGACTCTAAACTGTCCCTTTATTCTAAGGGATTTTAACTCAAAAATGTAGCCTTACTTAAAGAATAGTTTAGTTATTACTAAATCTTATAAACTTATAATAGTTAAATATTTGACAGTCTAATTTAAAAATAAATTTAATACTATTGCTTAAAAGCCCTTTGGAACAAATATAATTAAAAATCATATATAAGATTTAATTGATTTTGACAATTTTATTATTATAGTCGATCGATTGATTTTGACTAGTTGAATTATTTATTTTTATAAATAAATGTATCAACGAAACTAACCGACCCCTGCGCTGTAAGCATCCGGGTGTCGCGTATCCGCGACCCCACCGGCTCAGCGGTCAGAACGGCTCAGCGGTCAGTAAAATTGATCAAATAACTTCATGAAGCTATACCACAACGAATATTGCATCAATTTATATAAAAAGTAGATAAAATTAAAGCTGAAATCCTATTCAATTCGCCGAGACTTTCTCTGACGTCGTAAGATAATTCCTTCGGCCAGGGCGTACTCACGAAGTTCGACCATAACATCTTTCCATTTCTTCTTCTATTCGATTTTTTTTTGCCTCTCCTTTCGCTCGTTCTCTAGGACCTTCATCCGCTGCATTTTAACGCTTGAAACGATACCTCCAATCGATATACGGGCCCTAGAAGCGTTGGAACGTCGATTTTTTTCGTGTTGGGCTTGTGTAAAGTCCTTACGGTCCCGCTTATATTGCTCGTATAGATAGCCCATCGATATAGCGCCTTTTATTGTATGACGAAGGCGCCTTCCGTACAGCATTCCAGCCTCTCGATATGATTCAACAAGATCAAAGTTGATTTCCAACTTCCTCGCGGTTTTAGGGGTGGATTCAGAGCTAAATCCGATGTCCTCCTGATCACTAGGGATTGGCGTTGCCTCAGGCGTTGCAGGAGGCGATTCCAGTAAAGAATCGATAACGATTGCAGGATTAAAAGGAATAATCCCTGTATGACGAAAGGCATGCTGTATAGTACACTTCTTGAAAGTTAAATATCGTATATGACTGAGTGCGTAAAGAAAATCGTTCTTTTTAAATTTTCCGGTTCCTTTGCACGTTGAATCGTCAATCCATCGAGAATGATAGTATTTGTATGATTGAAAGACCCCTACATCAAGCGGTTGAAATAGGTAGCTTATATAAGGAGATAAAAGGAATAAAATAATCCTTTCTTTCTTACAAAATTCAACGAATTTGCGTGTTAAATGAGATCCGTATCCGTCACAAAGAAGAAGGTAATAATTGCTGACTTTTTCTTTCTTTATATAGTAATTATAGTGCTGAATCCATTGAAATGCAAGTTTATCATTTATGTAGCCTGTATTAGAGACCCTTATAACGCTGCCGGCTTCAATGAAGTCAAACCAACCGCGTAGGTAATATCGAGCGCTCATAATAATGAATAGTTTTATTACGATCCCGCGCGGATTGATTACCTCTATTACAGTAACGTATTCTCGATTTGTATTACTTCTAATAAACTGCTTCTTTTACGGATCGCGTGTGACAATCTACTGATCCTTTCCGATTCCAATTTGGAAATCAGTTTTATCAAAATTCCATATATCATCCTCTGCTATCCCACGATCTTGTATGACCCGACGGAATTCTTTAAATCAGTCTGAAATGACTACACGATTATGTGCATTTCTTCGGTCTGCCTCTATCGCTCTTGTCCGTTTTTTAAAATATTCAGGATGACGTTCTAGCCATTTTCGCAGCCACTGTTGGCCGACTTTTGGAGGAGGTAAGGGTCATCGTGAGCCGATTTTAATATCGAATTCGCGAAATTCTCGATCATCCGGGGCCGTAGGGATACATTCATTATATCTAACTGATTTATATAATTTATTAGCGCAGCCTCTTGAGCGTCATTTAGCCTCTGATTTATAGGTTTTCTGGTCGATCGAGAATTTCGTCCGCTTAACCTAGATCCCAAGGTAGTTTTTGCAACCCCAAAATCACGCGCAATTTTCGAGATAGACGCATCAGGATCATCCTGAAACGCGCATATAGCTTTTTGCATTCGATCTTCATATTTAAAATAAGAATCCGACATTGTGGCGTTAAGATATTAAGATTTGAAGTCGTGGAGTGGAAAATTGATTGAGTTAACCGCTGAGCCGTTCTGACCGCTGAGCCGGTGGGGTCGCGGATACGCGACACCCGGATGCTTACGGCGCAGGGGTCGGTTATAAAAGAAAACTATTCTCTTTTATTTTTATAATATTATTTATTTTCTGTCTACCTATTATCTCTGTATCTATTTTATTATTCTTATTTTTAACTTACTTGTGTTCTTATATTGTTTTTCAATAATTGTTTTTAACTAAGGATTAATTTTAAATATGAAAATAAAAGAGCAGATAATCTAATATTAATAATGGTGCAATTTTAAAAAACAACAAATCTTTTTAATATATTATTTAATACAAAAGGGGAAATTAAATTGTTTTAAAAAATTTAAAATATATAATTACCTATTCTAAAGAGAATCGCCCTCCGGCCGGGTTCAACACACCTAGTTACGGACTATTATTTTTCTGGGCCCCTTCTACGGCCGCGTTTTACAAATTTAGCCTTGAATAATTCTGTACACGTTATATATTATATTTTATATTCGGTCGATGTAATCTTTGTTTTATATTATATTATTCGCCATACCTGGACACAAGACTCTACTGAGGGGCCCACAGCAGCGCTAGAGGAGATATCTGATCATTCAAGAGAACACACTCAAACGGCTGACAGAATCAACCTGGGGCCTCCCCATGCTGCAGGCCCGGAGGGCCACAAAGCGGGAAACTAGCGAGCTCACAAAACAGATGTGCAAGAGAGTAGAGAACAGTGCACTCCGACCTACAACCTACAGACAGGAAATCGTGGGATACAACAGTCCTATGCCACAAGGCTGGGATCAAACGTAGATCAAGAGGCCGCTGCCACCGACAGCAAAAAAATGTACTGAGAAGCGTAATATATGGGA